GCTCACATCATACTAAAAGTGTGATCGCTGGCGACACGCATAGAGGATTGCTCCCCTTCGTGCCCGCCGGTGGTAGCAGTCACCCCTTCCACCGACGTTTGGGCTGACATCCCATACCCCAAAACTGCTTTATTTCTGGTGAACCACACTCTTTCGTTCTTGCCTGCCGCCTGCCGCCAGGCTATATAACATTTTCGTCAATATTTATGGGATAGACAATTTGATGACTTTACTGATTGCAACTCACCTCAGCAACAAAAAATAAACGGGAGCCCCCCCAGGGTGCACAGATTGTTACCGTATTTAAAATTTTATTTATTTATTGTACAGTATAAGAAAGGCAAAAAAAAAGTCTTATTTATTACTTTTCGATCAATCTTGCTTTATATTTTGGCTTATAATTTGATTGCAACTTCTTCTAAACTAACTGAACTAACTGAACTAACTTGTAACCTTGGCAGAAATATCTAGCAATTTTAGCGGAATAACGAAAGTATTTTGAAATAGTCAACATTGAAAGTAAATTAAAAAAAAATTCCATTACTGCGGACGTTGCAAAAAATTACGAGGTAAGAGCAGTAATTTTATAAAGGAAAATTCACAGAAATGGCAAGACTTGATCTTTATCGTTTAATTGATGAATTTTTGGATGGTCTGTAAAAAACTAATTTCTTGGATGTTGATGCACTAAGGTCAGTACATTCAAGTGGCCCGTATGACACCAGGCACGTGCCTGTTTGGGTTAGGTGTTAGTAGGCGCGATGGAAAATATAGGACAGAATACGAGGAAATTAACTACCGGCGTGCTGCCAGATTGTTAGCTTGCATGCTTACTTAGTGTGTTAGTATTAAAGATTTTAATTTGGGAAGGGTATCTACGTTAGAGATTAGTGTGTACAAATCATTATAAATTGCACATAACACTCTAAAAGGTTCATGCAGTTCGAAGGAGATTCTACAGTGGCGCAACACTAATGGGATATAGGATCCAGTAGTTCTACATGGTACGTGGAAATTGAGCTGACTCAACAAGTCAGGACTTTCCACATCACCATGGATATGGTTAAAAATAAAGGTTATTCCTAGCATCGTTCTACGATTGGCTAAGGACGGCAAGTTTATTAATAGGAGTCTATTAGAGTAGGAAGGCAATCTTTGGTTTGCATCCCAATTTAAACCGCGTAGAGCGAAACGTAAAAAGTTCTTTTGAACCGACTCAATGCGTTTACTATGGACGCCATACTGAGGGCTCCAAACGCAGCATCCATATTCTAAGACAGGACGAACTAAAGAAGTATATAAGGATTTATTGACATAGGGGTCATTGAATTCCTTCGACCACCGTTTAATAAATTCAAGCACACCCCTGGCTCTATTCACCATAGACGTAATATGATCAATAAAGTCAAGTTTTGGGTCCAACCGGATGCCAAAATCATCAACAGAATTAATTCTTTCCAAAGAGCAGCAGTTTAGTGTTTAAGAAGCAAGCTTGGAACCGACACGAGAGAATGTCATTAGCTTGCATTTCGAGCCATTTTAGTTTAATAAGTTTCCACGGCACCAAGTTTGAAAATTATTGAGATTTGTTTGCAAATCCGAGTGGCAGCCGACGTCATTGTATTGCACGCAAAGCTTGACGTCATCCGCGTACATAAGCACTTTGGAGTTAGTCAAGACTTTGGGCAGGTCATTTATAAATAATGTAAACAATAAGGGTCCCAAATGGCTTCCTTGCGGAACGCCAGATGTAACCCTTAGAACATTGGATAAATTATACTTAAAGAGGACATTTTGCGTTCTGCCATTCAAATAACTTGAGATCCAATTAAGAAGATCACTTGGAAAACACCCATTAAATCGAGTTGTCTAACGAGGAGAGTGGTTAACAGAGACAAATGCTTTATTGAAATCAGTATAGATTACATCTGTCTGAAAATTATTATGGAAGCCATTTATAATATATGAAGAGAGCTCAAAAAGATTTGTTGTTGTTGATCTTCGCTTTGTAAAACCATGTTGACATGCAGAAATAACTGATCTACAAAGGTGCTGTAAGTGAGGGGTAATAATGTTTTCAAATAATTTAGGGATAGCCGACATCTTAGAGATTCCTCTATAATTGCTGGCATCCAATTTCCTACCTTTTTTGTGGAGAGGAATAATAAACGATTCCTTCCAAATGATGGGAAAGTAGATAAGGTTAACAATATCAGAAGGGGATACCACAGAGCGTCGGCACAATACCTGAGAACACAGCCAAATAAACTTGCTTGACACGATGAAGATCTAAAAGGAAAGAGCTTTCGTTTAAGCAAGGACAGAAATTTACGTTTGATTTCGATATATTGTAGGAATAAGTCTGGTGTAAATACGAAGAGTTTGAATAAGTTGTTTGAAAAACTTCGAAAATAGATCGGCTATTGCCTGATCATTATTTACGGTAGTATTTTCAATTGAAAGCGAGGAAGAATTTGTTTTAGGCTTACGTTTAGTGTTAACAATATTATAAAACTGTTTTGGGTCCAGTGAGAACTGGGACCTACAACGAGTTAAATAGTTTTTAAAACGCAGTGTTTTTTTTTTAAACTCGTTGTAGGATCAGCACGGTAAAGTTTGACCGAGCTGATAAATAAGTTGAAGGGCCAGATTCAGATCCGGTCAATTTAAATTTAGCATACAATCTAGATTTTTTATTCTTAAGCCGGCTCAACTCTCTAGTAAACCGGATAATATAACGGTAACAGTAAAAAATGAATTCATGGCACTGTAAAAGATATCCACCTCAACTGCCATGTCAGTGCACGTGTATAGATCAGACCAATTGAACTCACTTATAAAATTATTCAACCGTTCAAAGTCCGTCTTCCAAAAACATAGGACTTTTTTGGCTGGACGATCAGAAATATTCTGTAGGTCAGACCCAATATCATGAGTTACATCGAGAGGCGCCACCCTGGCTAAACTGACTCTCGCAGGATCAGAGACGAAACAAAGATCGAGCAAGCGCTGTAAGGAATTTCGCACATGGTTGATTTGAGACTGCGAGATGTCGAACGAGCCAGTGATAAAGTCATGTTATGTAGAAGTAAGCAGACTATTGGTGGAATTATTTGAGCACCAAATAGCACTAGGGTACTAAAATAACCTAGAACTACCTACTGTTCTCTATCCAAAAGTCAACTGGAAACCATCTGAATAGTGGAAAGATGGTTCCACACAGCTGGAAAAACTTCGGAGCTCAGAATCTCCAGGTTTTTGTAAGCACAGTAACCTAAGAAGCAAACGAAAGAATACAAGTTGGGAAGCTTACTACGTAAGCCTCTTGCATTTTGATAGGAAATACTTAGGGAGTAGGTTAGTTTTTTGGGTCGGGATTGGAAGACGTAGAAGGCGCAGTGGTATCATCAGGCCTGGGAAGAGTTATTCCTACAGGCCGCTTTTTCTTTTTCTTCTCTTCGAACTCCTTAACAACAACGTACCGTGGCCAGAAGTTGGTAGATCAAATGGTGTTAAAGAGTTCGTTGGGGACATTTATTTTAAAATATGAAACTTCCCAAGCGTAAAAAATTTAAACCTTTCTACCTTAATCTTTATTTTATCGGCTCTGTTGTTGCCACGTATAAAGGGAGAACATCTTCCGATGTTTGATCAGGGGAGAGCCGCGAAACAAAAATATGTCTCATTGGTGGCATTTTGGTTATCTGCCGTGCCATTGTCGTCCGGTATTCCGGGCCTAACACCCTGGGCAGATATATCGGTATACACAGGACTTTGAAGGGTCAATATTTGCGATCCCCCAGGGGACAAAACAGAAATCGCCGGCGGTACGGGCACTCCCGCTGCTCATTAGGGTACCGAATCTGTTCTAGCGCTTGATCTCAGCACTCTTGGAATTAATGCTGAGGTCGAGGGCTGTGTCGAGGGAGGCTGGAAATTTGAATCATCTGTGTTTTAGGGGCGAGAAATATATATGTTTATAATAAAAAGACGAAGTAAAGGGTTCTATCATTACATTCACGTATACATTTTATATTTATAGTTTTACAGTTACAGTTCACAGTTCTGCATTTTACTCTACTCCACATTTTACTCTTTTACAATATTAAAAGCGAAAAATATAAATAATAGAAATTAACTATATTTCAAATTATATGAAAATACATATATGTTTAAACCTGAAAAACCTATTTTTTCTAAAAAATAGCTATATGATATATTTGTCTGACCAGCCCGATTCGACTTATATACAAGTAAGAGTTTTAAAGATAAAGATAAAGATAAGATAAAGAGTATAAAAAAGATAGAACAATTATTCTAAATTAAATTCTTAATTTGAATAGATACGTAAATAATTTTGATTTGAAGAAAGCAAGTCGATGAATTACTCTTTGCCAGCCTTGGTATAGGAGCATCTGTCTTCATCATTGGGAAGGCAAACATTCAAAGTGGCCTGCCTTCCGCTCTCTGTTGTCATATTCCCTCTGCTTTAGACATGTAAGGTTCCCTCAATACAGCAATATCTGTTCTACTCAAAAGCCGTAGGAGACAGTTGATCTTGGGCAGCTTTGCAGTAGATTTAGTTAAGTGACAGAAAATAAACCATACTGTGTATTTTTTGATGGTATTACATTTGTATGAGTGTGTCCAGGCCATTCAGTCATTCGACGGAATCTTTAGAAAGTGTGGTGTGTTACGACTGATTTGCAAAGTCATTATAAAAATTTTAAAGTAAAGTTGAAGCGCGTTGCAGCGTATTGTAAAGTAACGATATCTTAAATAATTTTAGAATATGTTAAAAATTTCGGATTAGTGTTGTTTGTCTTATTATTACCTTATTTATTTTCGGTGACTCGCCTCATTAAGATAATATTCTCTGTTGGGTCAGAAATGATTCGATCTCCACTTCGCGCATGTTTTAGTATTATTTTACCATACATTATTACTATATATCTTCGCAATATGATTAACCCAAAATGGAACAATTTCTTTCGTTTTAGGAAATGCGAAGACGATTAGAAACGATAACAGTTCAAGGTTTGGTAAATTTATGCAAGTATGTTTTGATGATAACAACTGTATAAAAGGATGTATTATTCAAGATTACCTGCTTGAACAATCTCGAATAACTTTTCAAAGTGAAGGGGAACGAAACTATCATGTTATGTATCAATTGGTGGCTCAGGGGCAGAAAAATGTTGACATGGCACAAGCCTTATATTTAAAGCCACCTGAATTTTATAAATATCTTAATACTTCGAAGACTGAAAAAATAGACGTGAATTTGGAATCAACTAAGTTTAACGCTCTAACAATGGCGTTTACGGTTCTGCAAATTCCCCAGTTTGTAATAGATGGTGTTTTTAAAGTTTTAAGCTCAATACTTTGGTTAGGTAATATTGAATTTATGGATATTGACGGAGAACGTTGCGATTTTTCGAAGCCTGACCAGGAAGCTGTTTCCAATGTCTCTCAACTTCTTGGACTTAAAATATGTAATCTGAAAAAGGTCCTATTGATTCGTCAAATAAATGTTAGAGGAAATATTACTGAAATTCCTTTAAAAATGCAAGAGGTAAGTGTATTTAATTATTTTAAGTATTTTAAGAACGAAATATCGGGGACTCTCTGTGGTCAGGGTTCGGGGTAGTGAAAAATATTAAATTTTGCGGCTATCTCTGTTATTAAATATAGATTATTGATCTAATGTGTTTCACTTTAATTCTAATATTTTATCATTGCACTGCTGTATTGAGATGAATCGAGTGCTGCTACTGCTTAACCTTTTTCATAATACTATGTAGCAACTTCAACATTACATATATAAAATTAAGGGGATCTGTAGGACTTTTAAGGATAACTTACGTTCTTCTAGTTGGATTACGAGTGGTTTAGAAGGTCTATTGCGGGTGCGGGTGATTGCCAGGCAAAGATTTTCACTTGTACTTTGTTTCAGGATAGAAAACTGTCTGGAGCTGGGGCGGCTTCATGTATGATCCCTGGTTAAACATTTTCCCTTTCAGGTTTTTTTTTTTTAACGAAGTACATCGATGCTATTAAGGTTCTCGAGACTATGTGGGCCATTTGGCATTGCGGCATTTACATTTTTAAGTCACACAGTTTCGAGAACCTTAATAGGATCGATATCTTCCCAGACACATGATATTGTATAGCAAAATGTATGCTCTACGAATATACCTGGTGGATTCTAGGTCTGGAAACTCTTCGAATTGGATTGCTCGTTGACCTTATCTAGAGTTAATTGCCATCCTAAATGCATCAAGCATTGCCATCCTATACGCCTTGTGTATCATTGAAAGACAACGAGTCATCCCATTACATTGTATCATCCGATATATATGTTATATAGTATTCCAGTTTTAATATTATAGGTTTTTATTACATCCGACTTCATGTCATGGCTAATTAATTGGACCACGATTTTCAATTTTATTATCTCGTTGCTTTTCAGCTAATTATAAGTTATTATTTATAGATCTAAACAAACCTTTGTTGTTCTGCTTGTTATCGTTAGAACTATAGGAATTGGATTTCGTTATGGAAAATCCAAATGAGCCATACGGATACCTTTCTACATTCAACAACAAAATCATCAACATATATCAAAATAGGCTAAATAGACGTGTGGTATTGTGACTTTTTAGGAAAGCAAATATCTGGTTTAAAAATTTGCCATATAAATGCTCAAAGCTTGGCAAGAAAAATGTAAGAATTTAGGTACTGCTTTATCAACTCAGACATAGATGTAATATGTATTCTGAAACATTGAATGTCCCGAATATCAGTGATGTCTTAATTGAATGTGACGGCTATAACATGTATCATTCTGATCGTTAAAGTTAAAATTTGAAAGTAAACATTCTGCTTTCACCTCGGTAGAATATATAATTGTAGAAATTACATATAAGTTGCAACAGACTGCAAAACTTCTGATTGGTGCGCGTATCGGCCAAATTATAGGACCAATTACGAAAATTCTAGCAGGAGGCTTTAATAGTGATTCAATAAGAGAATCACACACATTGCAAGGGTTAAGTGTACTGAACATTTCTTCTCCGACGCGTTTATGCAACACTCGCAGCCCATAACTAGATGTATTCTTTTTGACTAATGTTGACAAAGTAGTTTTATATGACCTAATTTTTCTGACATTTGCAATCGAATATTTATATTATAACCATACCATAGTTTTTGGGGACTTGAGAAATAAAAATTATGAACATTAAAATGACGCCTTTAATTGCTGTAATTGAGAGAGGCTATGTTTACACACAGAATTGGATGATTTAGTAAAGCATTTTCAGGATAATATAAGTAACTTGTATTACAGCTGCGTTCCAGTTCGTAGTAAAAGAATTCGCGCATTGGAGAAACCATGATTTCATAATGGCATTCCCAAATCAAATAGTGACTACACCCTTATATTATTACTTCCTTACCAAATAAATCAATATCTCACTGACAATGAATTGCTAAAAATAATCAGTATGGATTTATAAGAAACCCGAAGCTGTACCTCAGCTATTTAAAAATTTACTGACGATATAAGGAAACAAGTAAACGATAACGATGTGAACAGGAGTGGGCGGTCCATCCAAACACGGTGCTCTGGGCGACGGGGAACCCATTCTCCAATCTCAGGAACCCCTGTTGGATCAGCTTTGGAAAAAAGTCAGAGCCCAACACGAGGGAGATTGTCGCTGGGCGATGGAACTGGCGATCAGCGAGGCGGATGTCGTCAAATATCGGCCTGGTGGCGTCGCTCAGAGTCCGTGTGGTAGTTCGGATCTTGAGGCTGGGATCGATCCTCAGAGTCACCTGGATGTTGAAGCTACCTGTCCGGGACCGGATGGTCGCCGAGCAGACGTCATCTCCTGCCTCCACTGTCGGTAGACGGTACGCCGCCGCCAGCGACCGATCAATGAAGCTGACCGCCATGCACGTGTCAATCATGGCCCCCATCTCAAAGGTCGTCGTCCCGGTATCCAACACGACGCAGGCCGTCGGGAGTACGTAGACGACCTTCTGGTGCAGCAACGCTGCCACAGACGAGGACGGAGTGGAGGCCGTAGGACGGGTTGACTCGATGGTTGGCGACGGAGACCTGGAGATGGTCATCGCGGGCGGCCGTGGATCCGTCCTCCGAAGTGGAGCAAATTGGTGCGCCGTATATGTGTAGCAGCGTGTGGTGGCTTGCGCGACACTTTTTGCAGCCATTGGTGCTGCGACACGTGCCCTCCGAATGGTGGTGGGCGAGGCAGTTCGAGCAGTACTTGTTGATAAGCACTGCTTGAAGGCGCTTTGTTTTATAAACCTCTTGCATTTCCGGAAAAGGATAGATTCCCCGACAGACTCGGCAGCAGTAGGATTGAATATCCAAAGATACGGTGGTTCGAGGACGCGGCACCATGATGTCGAAATGTTCTGCGAGGGAAAAAGAAAAAAAACTTTAGTCGGAGTCGATAGTGATAGGATGACCTTGTGGACGGGACGTTTTATTGTACCGCGCACCGTACGGATCTCCACCACTCGAACTCGGCCGTTGGCGGCCGGACAAATCAAAACGCTTCTACTGAGTCGCCATTCGTTCGATGTCAGATTATCCTCCTTGACGACTACCATATCGTCGATTTGGAGATTCGTGGTTGGAAATTGCTACTTATTGAGTTTGTGAAGCTCTTTTAGATACTCCTCTTTCCATCGTGCACTAAACTGCTGGTGTTGGGCCTTCAAATGTTGCCATCGATTCAGTATCGATTTGGCTTCGCCTCTTATCTCAGGCTCAGCCATTGAAAGTAATGGCCCTCCAATCAGGAAATGCCCTGGTGTGAGGGCCAGCAAATCGGATGGATCTTCGGACACTGGGGAGAGGAGTCGAGAATTGAGGCAAGCTTAGATCTTCGCAGGAAGCGTCGCAACTTCGTTGAATGTGTACTTGCGGGTAGCCGTGGATTTTTAGAAAAGATTTTTTAAACTTTTCACCCCGGCTTCCCACAGACCCCCCATGTGTGAAGCCCCTGGTGGTATAAACCGCCATACTAGTCCTTGGAGGCTATATGCTGCATTCATGGACTCTTTGGACGGCCTGTAGGAAGTCCCTTGAAAACAAAGCTGCTGCCCCAACAAAGGTCTTGCCGTTATCCGAGTGGACCCGCTGAGGACGACCGCGCCTAGCTAAGAAACGAGCAAAGGCTGCTAGGAACTTCTCGTTTGTAAGATCGGAGGCGGGTTTCAAATGAATGTCCTTAGTAGAAAAACACACAAACAACATACGTATCCCTTGGTAAGGAGACATGCTCTTCCGGTATAGTTCCTGATCTCAAAAGAACCGGCATAATCAATGCCCATTTAGGTAAAGGTCCTGGAGAAGGTGACTCGGTCTCTCGGAAGATCACCCATCAGCTGTGGAGTTGGAGTTTCTTCTTGTAGATCGTGCAAACCTTACACGGATTCACCACAGCCTTTACTAGAGTCTTGATTTTGGGAATCCAATACTTCGATCGGATCAGGCGCACAATCAATTGACTGCCGCCGTGGAGGGTAATCCGGTCAGTCAATTGGATGAGAAGGAGAGCCACCTACAGTCGTAGGGCAGAAGGATTGCATGGCGCTCATCATTCTGCAGGGCTTTTGACGCAGTGACGCGCCCACCTGCTTTTAGAAGGCTGTGTTGGTCAATGAACGATAAAAGTTTAAGATTGGAGATGGCCCACTGAAAGGGGACATTTCTCTCGCAAGCACTTGTGCTCTTGGCCGTATGCTTTACGCTGCGAAATGTAAATCAGCGCTCTTTCTGCCACTCGGATTTCTCACTTGTGAGTTGTGAAGTGGGCGAGATTGAGCCCTTGCGGCAGCGCTGTGTGCTGTGCTTTGTCCAGCTTCGAAAAACGTTCCATAAACTCGTCAGAAGGGCCCTTACTAATATGCAGCCTGACCACCCGCTTAACGATTGTTAAGCTTAAACAAATTCAGTTCTTAATCCAACTCAAAACAATAAAGATTATTTTTTAATGAAAAAATAACCAATAATCTTTAACTGGCGCCCGAACAGGGACCTGGTTCTAATCCTCGAAAGGTGCCAAGTTCCGCGTCTCGCGTCGATCGGTAAAAAATCCCGACGTTTCGGTAAAATAATTCCACCTAATACGTGATGAGTGAAATCAAAACAACGCGAACCGGAGGAGCGAAAAAAGTCGCTACCCCTAGTTTAAAGGACTTGTACCTGGAGGAAAGACCAGGCCAGAAATTATCGCCGTGATCCCTTTAGTATCCGTTCAGAGCGAAAAGGTATAGAGGAGGCCATCATGGATGGAGATCCGAGAAGCCCTCTCCACTTCGTTTAAGGATCACAGACCATACGTGACGCTGATAAAACAACTGGAAGAGACGCCATACTCAGGGAGAATCTGTAAGTTCATCCAGATGCTGGAAACGCAGCATCGTAATATCTTTGATAAGCTAGAATTAGAACGTAACCCTGTAATTAAGAGCAACTATTCTGATATGTTTAAATGGACCATCAAGTCTACAATTGATAAGAAAATACCAGATAGA